AGGGTGCCGCGCCCATAAAAAAAAACCCCCCAAAAAAAAAAAAAAAAAAAAAAAAAAAAAGAATATAGCCAGTAACTATTTCAGTTCAATTACCATGAGGGATAGCTTTATGAAGAATAGAACTTGGAGCCTTGAGAGCTGGCACGCAGGTGCAGCTTTCTTCTCTTGTGTAGGGGAATCCTAAAGGGCATCCCACGTGATAGGCCTTGAAGGAGGACTTCACAGGACACAGAGAGGAAGGCATTGATAATGGTGGTAGTGGGGCCTGCAGGTGGCTTACTGGTTACAGTGCTGGACTCTCATGTGGCTAACTGCATTTTTTTTAGGAGAGGCTTTTGCAATAGGGTGTGTAGGCTCACCAGAAAGACAGACAGAAAGTGAGAAATCACCCGCCAGGGAGGATGACCATGCTGCAATCCCTTCTCCTCCATCCTCCTCTCAGGATCTTGGGCACACATGCACACGTGCCCGTTGTGAATTAAGCTGCCTGGTCTGGCACATGAACCACAGTCGACTACTTGGGAGTCCAGCAACATAGCCATTACGTTATCTGCTGGTCCCACTAACTGCAATTTGAGTTCCAAACCCAGTGCTTGAAATTCATACCACGTACGTGTACGTGCATGCCCCAAATCCCAAGAGAATGGAGAAGGGATTGCAGCATGGTCACCCTCTCCGAGGGTGACTTCTCTTTTTCTGTCTCTCTCTCAGGCAAGCTCACGTGCCCTATAGCAAAAAATATATATATATATATAGATAGATAGATAGATAGATAGATAGATAGATAAATAGATAGTAAAATACCAGCTACATGAAGAGTTGGTATGTGCCAGACACTGTGCTTTATATATTTTACCAAAATGGTTCTCAAAGATTGTAATGCCCCCTCCTGCCCTACCCTATCCCTGGGAATATTTGGAAACTGGTGGGAGCTTTTTTAGTTGCTTCAGTGGTGAGCATTTAGTGGAAGGACTCAACAATGCTTAATGTTCTGCAGTGCCTCATTTGCAATAAAAAAAAATCATCCTGGACAAAATGTTAAGTGTCCCTGTTTTGGAATGACTATCTAATTAAAATTTGGCAGTAATTTTTTGAGCAAGATAGAATTGTTCTTACTCTGGAGTTGTAGAAACTGAAGCTGAGAGAAGTTAAGTAACACTCAGCATCATGTTGCTGATGAATGGGGGAGCCTGGATTTGAACTCAAGCAGTTGATTCCTGAGTTATCTCTCTCCCTCTCTCTTTTTTAAATGATTATTTATTTAATTTTAACAATAATATTATTGTTTGCTATAGTGCACATGCATTCACCAGAGAGAGGCAGACAGAGAGAGGAAAGAGAGGAGGAAAGTGAAAAAGCAAGCCACCAGGTCCGGGACTCAAATTGTGGTTGTCCATGTGGGAGTCCAACATCCCCGCCACCATGCCACCTGCTGTCCCCCCCTCCAAATCATCTCTTAACCATTGTACTAAACTACCTCTCTGGTATTAAACAGCAAGGGAACAACACATGCAGAGGTGTGTGAATTGAACAATATCTGGCTGTTCCAGAATAAGGTGAAAAGTTCGAGTAGAACTTCAATAAATGATATTCCTTTTTTCTTTTTTGAAGAGGTTTGTTTTGCTGTAGGACGCATGCGCTTGCCAGAAAGACAGAGCCAGAAAGCGAGAAATCACCTTCCAAGGGGGATGGCCACACTGGGATGGCCACACTGCAATCCCATCTCCTTCATTCTCCTCTCAGGATTTGGGCATGCACGCATATGCACCCGCCGTAAATTTAAGCCACCAGGTCTGGGACCCAAACCACAGTCGACTACCTAGGAGTCCAGCGACATAGCCATTATGTCAATTGCTGGTCCCAATAATATTCTTTTTAATTGCCAGTAGGCTTGTGCACCAGAGAGTGAGAGAGAGAGAGAAAGCAAGCAAGCACCTGCCAATGGGGTGTGGTCTCACCACAATATTTTTTCCTCCCTTCCTCTGTCCCATCAGGATTTTAGGCATGAGCTCACATATACCTGACATGTTTTTATTTACTTTACTTTTCTTTTTAATTTGCTAGGGTGTGTGTACTTGCTGGGGAGTGAGAAAGTACACCCCCCGCCCCATGGGGGATGACCACACTGCAATACCTTTTCTTCCATTCTCCTCTCAGGATTTTGGGCACACATGCACAGTGGGAGTTAAGGCACCCAGTCTAGGACTCAAACCATAGTTGGCTACGTAGGAGTCCAGCAACATAACCATTGCTCCATTTGCTGGTCCACTGACTTTTTACTTTCTATCATACAAGAAAAGAATATGGAACTGGGGGGAACAAAAGAAGACCAAGAAAAGCAGATATTGGGGCCAAGCACATGTAAGGCTTGGTTTCAGCTCTGTGAAATCTTGAGCAAGTTACTTAACCTCTCCCCTAATAGAGGTGAGTGCTAGTGATTGTCATGGACATTAAGTAATGCAATGTACATAGAGTGGCCATAGCTGGCATTCACGGAAAGTCAGATTCCTTGCTTCTCCTCCCTTGAGAGGGAGTTAGGATTTAACTTGGAGGTGGCAAATAGTCCGTGTTGGGTCAGGTTGATGGTACGTTCCTTATAAACCACATCGCCTCATACCCTGTCAATCTGGGGATGATCTGGAAAATATGAGGCAGGTGAGGGGGTGGGCACTGTGGTGACCTCATTCCATCCGAGGTCACTCTACTGCCCCACATTTTCCACAGGCTCCAGCAACCTGGGTGGTTGATGACACCTTAGGGAAAGTTTCCTCTCCACTGTCTGATTTGTTTCATCGTTTTTACCAGCCTGATTTTCACCTTTTGTGCATATGACTGTTCTTGATTTCTTGCTACAGAAACAAGTCTCCAGGCTCTTCAAAACATGCCCAAAGTGCTGCGTGATGTCGAAGCCCTTAAACAAGAGGCATCTTTTCTGAAAGAACAAATGATCCTAGTCAAGGAAGATATTAAAAAATTTGAACAGGACACATCTCAGTCGATGCAGGTATATTTTGGCTCCTGTCCTAAATGTTGATTCTTATTTTTGGAAGATGTCCACTCTTGTAAAGGATTTAGAACAGCACAGCACTGTGAGAGACAAACCTTAACTTGAAATTCTACCCAGGGGCTACATAGGAGTGCAAGTAGTAAAAATGTGCTGTTCTGCAAAGTTGATCCACGTGGGAAGGGGCCAGGTTCACTTCTGGAGACCTCCTGGGTACACTGGGCACCATGCCCGTGATCTGGGACTGACTGAGGCTTCGAATAGGTCCAGTCAGGAGCTTGTTGGCAGTGTTATCTCTCTCTTACTTGCTCATGGAAGAAATAAACAAACTTAAAAAAAAAAGAAGAAGAATTCTACAGCACGAACTACCGTTGTGCTTGGTTCTTTCAGCTTATTCATCTCTTCAGTATCTGCTGAATAAATTTAGCCAGGTGATTGGTACTTTAAGGGGTACAAAAGCTCCCTAAAGATAGGAACATGCCGGGACCAGCAGTTGGCATAATGGCTATGTCACTGGACTCCCATGTAGTCGACCACGGTTTGAGTCCTGGACCCGATGGCTTAAATTCACACCAGGCACATAGGCATGCGTGCCCAAGATCCTAAGAGGAGAATGGAGGAGAAGGGATTGCAACATGGCCATCTCCCCTGGGGGATGATTTCTCGCTTTCTGTCTCTCTGTCTCTCTCTCTCTCTCTTTCTGGTGAGCGCACGCGCCCTATAACAAAAACCTCTCCAAACAAAAAGACAGGAGCATGCCGCGATACCTATGCTTTCAGTTCCTGGTGGTAGATAGCGAAAAAGAACTGCTACATGTTTTTGACCCTCGATTTCTCCTTCAGGTATTGGTAGAAATCGACCAGGTGAAGTCCAGAATGCAGCTTGCAGCTGAATCTCTTCAGGAGGCAGACAAGTGGAGCACATTGAGCGCTGACATTGAAGAGACATTTAAGACACAAGTAAGTTTCTTGTTGTGAAATGTCTTGAGGTTTGGAGAAAGCAAGCAAGATATCCCTTCATCAAAGCCGTAGGGGACAGTCAACAGTGATACACAGAAACATTCAGGCCTCTGGCGAGGAAGCTCTAAAGCTGCTCTGAGTGGTTCCAGCTGTTCAGTTTGTACCCTCTGCTTGACTGAAGCCTCTTACAGGCTTATACAGAAAATGAGTTCAGGAGAAGCCTCAATGAAAATGCACAGGCAGGTCAGCTGCGGCTGTAAAGTGGTAACACCACGTTCTGCTGTGCCAAAGGCACAGGGCAAGGTCCCGGTTCACTTTCTGAGATCTCCCTGTAAACACTGGGCATATGGGGGTGCCTGTGACCCTGGCTGGCTTAGGCTAGGGTTGGATCGTGGCTTGAAGAGTGTTGAGGGCCTTATTGCTCTTCCTCTCATTAAAAAAATAAGTAAACAGACTTTTACTTATGTTTTTAAAAGTACACAGTGGACTAGCAGATGGCATAATGGTTACATCTCCTGGCCTCCCACATCGTCGACGGTGGTTCAAGTCCCAGACCCGCTGGCTTAAAACTCACACCAGGCATGTGTGCATGCGTGCCCAGAATCCCAAGAGGAAGATAGAGGAGAAGGGATTGTGGCATGGCCATCTCCACTGGGGAGTGATTTCTCACTTTCTCTCTGTCTCTCTCCCTGTCTCTTTAGCTAGCACACGTGCCCTATAGCAAAAAAAATCTAAAAAAAAAACAGCATAGGCAGAGGAAATGGGAAGGGGTAGGAAAGCATGGGCGTGGGTAGGGACACCACACGTGGGACCTTGGCAAGTTCTTTAACCCTCTGCAGCTGCCAAGTGTGGAGAGTACAGATTGACCATTCCTAGTCCAAATATGAAACACTCCAAAATTCAAAACTTTTTTCACACCAGTGTGACACACCACAAATGGAAAATTCCTCACCCTACAGCAGTGCCCTCCCATTTGTACCACTGCAGGGTCATAGTCAAAACCTTGCAGTGGAGAAATATCATGTAAAATTACCTATTGTTAATGCTATGGGTATAAGGCATATATGAAATTTAAATGAATGTTGAGACTTGGCTCCCATCCCCAAGGTTTCTGTATATGTCCATGCAAATATTCCAAAATCCAAAAGTGTCGGAAATGTGAAACACTTCTTAGTCCCAAGCATTTTGGATAAGAGAAATGCCAACACTTCTGATACCTAGCTATATAAGGATGAAGTGAGATGATCTTTTACTAAAAAGATTTTTTTTTAATTTTTTTTTTAGAATTTTTAATTTTATTTATTATTATTATTATTTTCAATTTTCCATTTCCCCAGCGAGATGGCCATGCCACAGTCCCTTCTCCTCCATTCCCCTCTTGGGATCTTGGGCATGCACGCACATACACCCGGTATGAGTTTAAGCCACTGGGTACGGGACTTGAACCGTGGTTGACTACATGGGAGTCCAGTGACATAGCCGTTACCCCAGTCCCGATTTAAAAAAATTTAATGAGCGAGAAAGAACATGGGAGGAAGAGACAGAGATGTCTTGACAGGGTCTTGTCACACTCCTCCTGCCACAGCCTTCCTGCTAACTGTGACCATAGGTGCATGCCACTGTGCCCGGCCTGTGTGGTTAGGGCTGGGAGCTGAACTTGGGCTCCCCTGTGGCCTTGGCCACCCTACGACAGTGCCCTCCCATTTGTGCCACTGCAGCTGGGCAAAACACTCATTTCTTTTTCTTTTAGGTTTTTGTCAGAAGCTATGTGCATACACCAGAGTAAAAGAGAGAGAGGAGGAAAGTGAGAAATTACCCACCAAGGGGGAGAGCCATGCCACAATTCCTTCTCCAGGCTACTCTTGGGATTTGGAGCATGCACTTACACGTGTCTAGAGTGATTTTCAAACTGCCAGGTCAGGGATTTGATCTGTGGTCAGACACATGGGAATCCAGTACCTTAAACACTACATCAGCTTTGGCCCCCCAAAACTCATTTTTAACTGTAAACCAAAGTGAATTACTTATCTCTTTAAAAAAAATTCTTTTCTGGGGGGGATGTTTTTGCCATAGGGTGCATGTGCAAGACAGAGAGACAAAGAGACAGTGACAGGGAAAGTGAGAACTCACTCCCTGGGGAGATGGCCATCACACAACTCCTTCTCCATTCTTCTGCTGGGATCTTGGGAATGCATGTACACACACCACTGATTTATTATATATATGCGACCACAGTAATCTTTCAACACATAGATTGGCACATGCCTTTTCCCTGTTTCCCTCTCTTTCTCTCTATTTTTTTTTAAGGTTTTTGTTATAGGGTACATGCGCTCACAAGAAAGAGACAATGAGAGGGGAAGTGAGACATCACCCCCTGGGGAGATGGCCATGTTGAAATCTCTTCTGTGTTCTCCTGGAGTTTTGGGCACATATTGCACATGTGCCAGCATAAATTTCAAGCCACCAGGTTGGGGATGCAAACTACTGTCGCCCATATGGGAGTCCAGCGCCTTAAACACTATGCCACCTGCTGGTCCCTCTTCCCTCTATTTTAACTTTCAACAGTTCCCCATTTTCTTTGTGCATCTTTGTGTGTGGGAGGGTGGGAGGTGTTTTGGAGACAGGGTCTTGCCAAGTCATGATTCTCCTTCCTCAACCTCTTGAGTAGCTGGGACTAAAGGTATGTGCCACTGCACCCAGCTCTTCCTTTCCTTTCCTTTTCTTTTCTTTTTTAGAGTTTTTTGCTGTAGGGTGCATGCTATAGGGTGCTGGAAAGACAGAGAGACAGAAAGCAAGTAATCAGTCCCCAGGGGAGAATGGTCACGCTGCAATCCCGTCTACTTCATTCTCCTCTCAGGATTTTGGGCACACACACGCAGGCACCCGTTGTGAGTTTTAAGCTGCGAGGTCCAGGACTCAAACTGCAGTCAACTACAAGGGAGTCCAGCGATGTTATCATTATGCCATCTGCTGGTCTCTATACCAAGCTCTTTAGAGAACTGAACCTTGGCCTCCCCTCTGGCCTCGACCTGCTGAGCAGCACCGTCCAGTGCACACTACTGAGGCTGAACCAACAGTTCTCCACTTGCCACTGGAGAAATTCCAAGCCCATTAATGTCTTTCACAACAGGGTTGGGGCTTGCTTTTCA